ATAAGTACCTATACAGGCCAAAAATACCTTGTCCCTGGGTAGAGGCAGTAATAAAACGTCCACAATGTGGTAATCTTTTCATTCTTACTTGTAACGATGCTCGACACTTATTGGATTCCATCAAGTGAAAAGGACCAATACTTAATGTCTTACTTTACCGACAAGTTTTTGAATACACATTCAAATTTGTGCCGCAAAATCTACATATATCTATGTAGAAGAATAGAAGAAACTATTATATGTCTACTCACAGATATGAAAAAATACACGCTATTAACATTTCATTTCGTAATTTAAAATATCTAGCCGTATGGCAACAGTGGAAATGATAAATTCTGGTCCTTTTATTATCGATGGAAATGTTTCAGTTTGCTTCTCTATTACACATTACACCACGGTATTTCTATGACGAAGCATGTATAAGTAAAGTAGGTTTATATCTGTTTATTAATGAGATATCACGATTTATATAATCACGTTCAGCTGAATCGATGCGGAACACGAAGGGTTAAGAATTCTGTGACAAATGAAAAATCAAATTTTAAATTATCGGGCAATTGGTAATGGGGTCTTGTTAGTATATGGAAATTCGAGATTATATTTTAATTAAGTTGTGAACTTTAATGATTTGTACGTCACTTTTGTTTTGTATCGATAATACATAGAACGGGGTCGAGGTGAGTGAGACTGGGTATAGAAAGAGGGTCGTCGAGCCGGAAAAACTGAGAACCTCTGTTCCAGGCCGACGCACTTTACAGGTGTATGTTACTGGACAGCAAGCAAGCAAACACACTCTCCATCGGTCAACTTCGAGTCATTGGCGCCGGCACTGTTGTTGACTCTCCCCTGCGCGGAAATTTCAACCCCTTTGTTCCTTTTTCGAAAATGTTATCGATTCTTGTCCTACACCTCTGGTCTTTCCTACCACAAAATGACCTCAACGTACAATTTTTTAAAGTATTTACACTACGATATCGTGATAATCAATATTAAAAAACTCTATAAATCTGTACGCTCCGAAATGCCTAGTGGTTACCGATTCTCATATTAATTATCGCTCCGAAATATGGGATTGAATACACTTACAAGGGAACTGTCAGCAAAAACGAAAAATTGCCAAATGCTTCTATCGAGGTCCCCTACAAACAGTACAAACCTGTGGAGTTAAAAAAATAAATCGGAATTTCCAGGTTACAGAAGTTTCCCTCTTGGCGAGGTTTTGCAAATTCGATCCAAACAACAGATAACTTGACACTTCAGCGTATCTCCACTTTTTGCAAAGTGTGTTAACAATATTAGTGGCCGCTGGTTGACGCCGTTACCACCGAGCGTACAAATTGCACACGCGACAAACAGACATCGACGTCGGCCTCGAGTCAATGTGTGCGTGACTCGCGCAAGAGATTTGCTCCACGAGGGCGCAAACGTTCTAAGCGGTGTACTTACAGCTTTCGATTCGCGAGTGGATCGCACGGGTCACGCAGGTACGCACTTTTCCTCGTCCCGGCATAGCGCGGTGGTTGTCGTCGTGTCGCAAATACGAAAGTGCACCGCGGCCTGTATTAGGGGCCCGCGTGCACGGGTACGGAGATTGCATAAGGCGTAAGCGTTTGCAATTCCAAATTGGTCGCAAAGAATAAATACATAGCCGCCGTTGCTACTACGTACACGAAATCATTGCGACACGCGGCGGCTGTTCGTTGATCGGCGAACGTGGTGTACCGGGTGTACGTTGTACGTCACCGTCTCTCCAGCCGCGATCACTTCCGGTACGGAATTGTACGGTGACGGTGTTACTGTGGAAGAATAACAGGATATACCTGAAACTACATAGGGTTGTTCGAGTCTTCAGAACACATACACTACCGATGTTGATGCAAATCTTGTGAAATATTTTTTTTATACAAAACATGTTTATTGATTTTTTATAATATTAAATTTTAAAATCAAAGTTAAATGTTTCTAGAAGAACATAAGTGATATTTATTAACACATACAACCTATGTATAAAAGTACTACAGTGAAGGGTTTATGAAGGTTGGATAGGAAGTTCCTCGTGAGAGTTTCTATTTCATCCCCGCCACAGAGGGTGGGAGAGAGGAAGGGAGGGCGGGAAGGAGGTCATGGAACCTGTCACGCGCATAATCCCCATCCACGCTTTTGTTGCCGAGGCTCGGGCTTCGGGCAAAAGATAGATTTGTGAGGTGTAGAAACGATTCGCGGTGTAAGTACCGTGAAAGTTTGGAAATGGTCGGAACCTTGGGCGTTTCAAACTCTCATGGAGCCTTTACTGTATAACCAAAGTTCAATGAAAAGGTATACGTGGAATATCTACAAAAGAAACAAGTTTTAGCTGATTTTTTTCTAACTTCTGCTGTACTTTTATGCGTTTAGACGAATATCAGTCGTGTAAGGATACGTTTTTTCAAATCACGATAGGAGCACCTGCAGGTATCATTAATATGTAACATTAGCTGAAGAAAGCTATTCCAATCGATAAATAACAACAGAAACGATAGTCTTATTTACTGAAAAATAGTGACATTTTAATGTCGTCAATGTACCGTGTGTCCGGACACTTACGGACGGTAGTGTGTACTGCCGGCCAAAAGTATGAGACCAGAATCAGTATTCTGTTACGATGAAATAAAAGTTCATTGAATCGTTATAGAATATTTTCCTCTTTCTTTAATTACCAAACCTGGCCCCATACTTTTGGTCGTTAGTGTAGATATGTGTTGTACAAGGCAGTGACATGTTATCTAAGAGAATCGGCCTTCTGAAGAATCGAATCAAATCGAATCGAATCGGAATCGAACATCCCTACCTGAACCTGAAACACACAGTCTTCCTCGATCGTCGCATCCACGACGCATCCAATGTAGATAGGTACATACATATGGAAGAAGAAGGGCTTCGAGAGCATTTTCATCGGTTCTGAGTTCTGAGTATGTATCATCATAGTATGATTGTCCCTCCGCTCAACGCGGAATAGGCAATCTCCTCTCATGCATAATTTCTAGCACGTACCACGCAGCAGGATTCCATTTACGTACGCGGACCGTGAAGCCATTACGATTTGAACGCGAACGATAATAGTAGTATCTGTGCTCGCGTCTCATTGGCACGCCGCGCTGAAGGATGCATTTACATTTTATATTTTTAGTGACGTACAATGGGTAATTGTGGTTACCAGACGGTGTGTCTTCGTCATAGGAATGCGAAGAACTTATAGGTGTATCTGTGTGTGTGGAAACAATTGCTTATTTTTCATTTCTTCTAACTAACATAAGTGGAACCTACCATTTTCTCCGACCTTCATTTACAACTTTATACGATCTTTTCTTAAAACTTCAAGGATTGTGGATCGTCGTTTTAGTTTTTTCTTGTTTCCATTTCTCTGTATCATACTCGAAGGCGTGAAATCGAGATTAGAAGGCGCCTACATTAATTTCACGGCGGAATTTTGATTCGCAGTTCGGTGAAAGCTTTGGACAAAGTTCAGGGAATGAGATACTCTGCTCACATTTTATATGTTAATTAAGTTGAAAACTGGACGTTCAAAAGCCAAGAACGCAGACAGTTCACGCTGCGGATGATCCACAAGTCTTCGTGAGTTCAGTGGAAAATTTTCCGATGAGTTTCTTGCAGATTTCTGCGGGTACTCCCCAGCTACAGCCGATTCGGTTCCGCGGGAAGTTGCAAATGGAACGATGAATCATCGGGAGGCCTTTGCATGATTCGTTTTATATCACAATGCTCTCTGAATCAGATAAAAAAAAACAGAGAATTAGACGACAACGGTATAAAAGAGTTCGCCACGTGGATGTTTACGACCGCCATTGAACGCGAATGATTTCCATATTTCGAGAGACAAAAAAATAACCGTCATTGATCCCGCGAAGTCGTTTATCAGTATTCAAGTGTCGTCAGAGAAGCACGTTATTTCTCTAGTACGCTTTACATTTTTCTTTTAAGACTCTTCTATCGATTACCATAGGACCGTGGTCGAAAGTATTTACGTATAGACGAAGGGGGAAGAAAAGAATCGTTACAAAGCATCGATCCTGAATGATTGATCAATTAAGCGAACAAACGGCATGGAACGTGTTTATTTCTTTGCCTTGGCGACGATGCAATCAAGCTTACCCGTGGTATCGATGGACTCATACCGTGTGTCTGTCACTTGGCTGTGGTAACGTACATAACGTACAGTGGAAGTCAAAATTGATATATTCATTTAGTAAGTCAGTATATATTCATTTCTCTTAATGTAGAATCTAACATTTCGCATAGATGCTCTATTTAATAGAGTTTATCACATTGAGATCTGCCGACTGTGAGTAAGGACTCAACTGATCAAAAGTGTTGTCTACCAAACAATTTTGTGCTTCCACCAAAATCAATAATCACTTTTGCTTGTATATTTTGGGTCACGATCTCCCTAAAAGGTCGATGAATATAGTTGCATCTGAATTTGATTTTAACATATTTAAACATCCAAATTTGTCCACAGTACTATGAATAAAAACTAACTGCCCAGAGTTAACTAACACCAGAGGTTGCAATGCTGCCGCTAACCATAATAGTATACTTACCATGTTTAACGATATTTACAAATTTTTTTTCGTTATAGCTCCTAGTTTCTTTTTCCCAAATTTTATGACTACCTATTCATCCCGAAAATGTCAAGAAAATTATATCCAACTGTATTACTGCTATGATCTTACAATAGTAGAATGCTACAGAAGTATTACCACAAACCTGACCTTTGTAAGCTGTGTACTTAGTTTTGACTCTAACTGTACATATCTATATGCAACAAGTTGCTACGTGATGGGCAATAAAGTTAAGTGCTAAGGAAACCTAAACATTAATTCGGTACACAAAAACGTCGCATGTTTCTGTTTGCTATATAAGTGTCATATTTCCTACAGACCGTTTTAATTAATATTAAAATATTTAAAATCACTAGACGAAATATTAACGATACGTCTGCGTGGAACAGGAACGTTGCAATAATACCAATGACAAATAAATTAATCACCCAAAGAAACAGGTTCTTCGATTCAGGATAACAATTTGGATCCGTGTGTCTTATCCATTCGATTACGATTACACCGTTATAATCGATACCATTTCTCGAACCAATCCACTATCAGTGACCATAACAGAGGACTCTTTATTGGCTCCAATCTTAACTCTATTTCCGCTAGAGATCACCGCCATCCTCTTGGCGGATGCGTGGAATTCCTTCGCTCCAGACGTTATCTTTATCTCAAAAATGTTGTCCTTGGTGATACCAGAACCTGGCATGATAATTATTCTATCTTGAGCCACCTGAACTAACTTCTGTATCAACTCCAAGCCTTCCTTGGCGGTGTCCTTCTGACCGGAAGTTAAAATTCTCTCAAACCCTAGTTCAATCAATGTTTCCACTGCTCTCATAGGGTCGTTCACCTCGTCGAAGGCTCGATGAAAGGTGACTGACAAAGGACTGGCCTCTGAAAGAACCTCCTCACAGAGATCCACATTAATTTTCCCGTTTAACGTCAGTGCTCCAAAGACGAATCCGTCTGCGCCGTGATCCTTGAGTATTTTCAGATCCTGTAGCATCACTTCCGTGTCCTCTTCTATGTACACGAAGTTACCAGCCCGTAATCGGAGCATCGCGTAGACTGGTATGGGTGAGAAGCTTTTGATTTTTTTAACGAGGCCCGGGGTGGGGGTTAGACCACCCTCAGATAAGGCTGAGCAAACTTCGAGCCTCTTTGCCCCACCCTCGATCGCGTTTCTCGCCGATTCTAGGGAGTCGATGCAAATTTCCATCTGAAACACATTTAACCAGTGTATACAGACGTCAACCAATCCTCTGTAATGGTTCGAGAGGAGTACTCACTGTCTTGTTATTGCTAAAGAGACTCAATAAACGAGTTTAAATAGCGGAAGTTGTGGAAAGTGTTGCTAATCTTCCAGTGAGGTGAAGAAAGACGAAAGTTACTAACAACTTTGTAGCTAAATAGAAATGATTCAATTAACGTCGAGATGCTCAGTGGAGACTGATACTGAAATTTCCACTGATCTTTTATCGTGCTTCTAATACCTGATAATTAACAGTAATTAATAGATACACCGAAACAAAAAGGAATCAATTAAAACCATTCCACCCGGACCATCGAGGATAGAGGAAAGCAGAGGAAAAAGGCTGGGGTTAACTGGTTGACAGTGTCTGGGTTAGGTGTCAACTTGACACTACCGTATTGACAAATCGAACAGCGTCTTTGGCGCCGCTACAGTCAATCTGCGGAAATGGGACAAATAAAATTCAATATGGCGTATTGTGGCGGTGTTTCAAATAAAAAATGAATACTTGTGTAAAAAGTTAGTCTGACAAAAATTTTCTCATGATTTCTCATATTGTCCAAATTTATAAAGAAAATATGAAAAATGTCATGTGTTTTTTGTTTCAAATTTTCTCAATGAAATCTTATGAAATATGAGATATCATAAGAAAATTTTCACCAACGATATAAGAAAACTTGTATGCATTGAAAAGATCAATTAATACTTCATATTTGGACACGTGTCCCAGCGTTACATGGACAACATTCGACTAGATAATGCATTTGATTTGTAGCTTAAAGAGCATAGATTAATTCCCTGTCAATGGCAATAAAATAAACGACCAGAACACTGTTGAAATCGCATTTATTTGCAACGCTTGACACTCTATCTCATCATGCGTACCCCGGTTAGTTCATTTTGGACAGCTCTTACACCGTTATACGGATACCTTTCGTTTAGTTAAAGCACTCAATTTGTAGCTGAAAGTACGTAGATTAATCCACTGTTATTGATAATAACAATAAGCGACCAGAACATTGTTAAAATCGCATTTAATCGCGGAGTACCACTATTTGTTTGACCGGTGGCGCCATCCGTGGCGAAACGCTGAAACTGGTAGCCATATAATTGGCTAGCAGTTTCAGCTATTCGCCACGGATGGCGCCACCGGTCAAATAAGTCGTAGTATTCCGCGATTAAATGCGATTTTAACAGTGTTCTGGTTGTTTATTGTTATTTTCAATGACAGGAGATTAATTTACGTTCTTTTAGCTTCAAACTGAATGCTTGATCAAAACGTAACTTGTCCATAGAACGTTGGAAGAGCTATTTAAAGTGAACTAAACGGGGTACGCATCGCGAGATAAAGTGTCAACCGTTGCAAACAATTGAGATTTTAACAATGTTCTTGTAATCACTGGTTCCCACCTGCCAGAGAGTACTAATCTGCGTCCTTTAAACTTCGAATGTAATCCATGACGAGGAAAACTGATGCTCGTTTAGCAGTGTAAATCCGATCGAAACCTATTGCAATCACATAACCACTAAACAGGCAACACTTTTCTTCGTCATGCATTACATTCGAAGTTTAAAGAATGTAGATTAGTACCCTATAACGGCTGGGAATCAGTAATTACAAAACATTGATAAAATCTCAATTGTTTGCAACGGTTGACACTGGATCTCGTCATGCGTACCCCGGTTAGTTCACTTTGGACAGCTCTTACACCGTTATACGGATAGCTTTCGTTTAGATAAAGCACTTGATTTGTAGCTGAAAGAACGAAGATTAATCCCCTGCCATTGACAATAACAATAAACGACCCGAATACTGTTAAAATTGCATTTAAACGCGGACTACCACTAGTTTTTCGACCAGTGGCGCCATCCGTGGCAATTTGCTCAAACTGCTAGCGAAATCATACCGACAGGTGATTGAAAATTCCTAATGATACAAAAATGCGAATATCTCAATAATTAGGCACTGAAAATGAACGCTGTTAGTCTCACATTATTCCTGAGGACTTAATGCATCGACCCTATACTGCAAGACCCCAGAATTACTCAAATTATTTATGCCTGTATTAACGTTGGCTCTTATGGAGAGGCAATCCAAATAGCAAATGGTTTCGATCGCATTTACACCGCTGAACTACTACCCAGTAGTACGTCCTAAGTACTATTCTACGTTCTTGTGACTTTGAATTGAATATTAGTGTTTCTCAACAACTTATATCTTAAAAAATTGCTTCCAATTTTTTATATTCGCAAATGAAAAAGCAAAAATTTGTCGTTCGCGCAATAGATACATAGTCAATGGTCTTTTTACACAAATATGGTACCAATTACCGAAGGAACCATGATCGCAAATTCTTCTGTTCGATGAATAATAAACGTATTAACACAATTTCCATCTATCCACCTTTCGCAATATCTTACAACTAACTTAGATATCTAAATATTCTTATACCAACGATACGAAAATCCCACGGCTGATGACTTCTTTCTTAAGTCTACCTGAAAGTAAAATAAATCAAAGTACAACACAGTTAATCAATATAAATAAAAATAAAACATAGGTAATTAAAATAAATGAAAACAAAACATAATTAATTAAAAGAAATCAAAATGAAGCACAATAAATTAAAATTAGCTAAGAAAAAAAGGATGTGCAAACCAATTCGTCGAGTTCGGATAAGAGAGATTGCCCTGTAAAACCTCCTGGCCACTAACCACCAATGAGCGCCAATGGCCGGTGATGCTAAAAAAAGAAGATTAGGACTTATTAATCGAGTTCGGATAAGAGAGGGAGGACTCATTAAGCACCACTGATCACCAAGCTATACTGGGAGAAAAAAAAAATCCAACCTGTTAGTTGGGTTCGGATAATAGAGAGGACCCCTTGAATCCCCTTGACCAGTGTCCACCAGTGTCCACCAGTGGTTGGCAGAGATGGGAAGACCTCCACGAGGTCCGCGGACGCGAGTGACCTGAGGTTTATTCGTTGCGCGCTCGTATTTATGGGCTCGCGGCGATCACGAGTTTGCGCGCACAAATGCGCGGACAAGTGCGCGAAGGTTGAACGCACTGGAAACTCGAGCGCGCGATAAATTATTTCTCGATTAATTTATTATTTCTAACAAGATAATTGTTATAACAATTACCTCTCCGAGGAACATTGTTAAACATTCTGTCAGCTGTCTTATAATGCAAATTGTTATTCTTTATAACAAATATAAAACGAAATATACGGAAACTTTCAAGATACAGACCGTGTAATGAACTTTCACGTGGAATAAATTTTATTTTATTGTAAATTATTAAACAACAACTATGTCTTAATGTTTATGGCGATTGTTAACTAAATATTATTTAATTTAAATGCGCCTTGGTAGAGTTTTATGCAAGAAATTCGTCAAAATTTATAGAACAGTTAGTTTTACTGAATTCGTGTGAAATTATTAAACAATAAGTTTAATATCATAACATTTATAACAATCACATTTTTGGTGAGAGATGTTCAACATTATATCATCCCTTTTACAATGCGAATTGTTTATAATTATAACAGATAGAAATCGAGATATACAGAAACTTGCAAGATACGGATCGTTTTATGAACTTTCATGTGAGATAACTTTTATTTTATTGCAAATTATTAAACAACTACTATATCTGAATGTTTATGACAACTGTTAACT